CCGGAATATCGTAGAATATTCTTATACTCATACTCTAACTAATGAACCCCCATATCTAAGGTGAATAGTTTAATACGATGAAAATACGGTAAATGGTATATTCTCAAAACTGCAATCGGTGATTATATCAGTTGACAAATTTATTTATCTAAACTAATATAGCATTTGTCATAAAAACCAATCGAATTTCTATAGTTTGGTTTAACTATTTTAGATGTGTTGTTGCTTTATTTATTACTGTGTTTGATATATAAATAACCCATCAAACACCTATAAAGCATTAGGGTTACATTATTTCGCCAAAACAGAATAAACAGAAAATCTAAGGGCCATGAGACGATTTTTTTTCTCCCTTCTCCTCTTTCTCGCCCCTCTCCTAGCCTCATGTACTAAAGAAAAACAGGTTACTTTCTGTTAAAAATAAATTTATAACTCTTAATTTTCACTGAATTTCATTTCCAAATATGCATCGAGTTGCTACCATTAAGTGTTCATTTCCCCTATTATTCCAAAAACTTAAATATTCAAATTTATTATTTCTTAATTAATCTAGTACTCCACACAATTTCATTTTTTTGTTTGGTTTTGTAGGTGTATATAGTCTACTATGGAGAACATAAAGGTGATAAAGCCTTATATGAAATTGAAGATCATCATTATTCCTATCTTCAATCGGTAAAAGAATCCGCAGAAGACGCCAAATCTTCGCTATTGTATAGCTACAAACATAGCATCAATGGCTTCGCGGCTGAGCTAACAGCCGATGAAGCCTCTAGACTAAAAGGTATATGTAAAACCCTACACTTTTAAAATGAAAAAAAGAAATTAATGAAACCAAAAATTAATATTTTGTTATGATTGAAAAACGGTAATCAATTACTAAGAATTCATTTTTCGTTTTTCTTACTGGATATAGGACTGAAAGGAGTTGTATCAGTATTTAAGAGCGATCCGAGGAAGTATAAGACCCATACGACAAGATCATGGGAATTTGTAGGGTTGAAAGATGACGAAGTGAGCGGTTTTCGTGGCGATGATAGATATCAAAATTTAGATGTGAATGATCATTTTCGTGTTGGTAGAAAGTTTTTGAAGACGGCTAAACATGGCGATGGAGTTATAGTCGGTGTTATCGACAATGGTAAGCTCTTCTAGGACACTAATTTTTTTGAGAACTAGGTTTCTAAAATGTTTTAGTAGTCACTAACGTTTTTATATTTGAGTTATTCAAAAACTAAATATATTATGCAGATCTTTTTGGTTAGAAAGATCTTCTAGAAAAAAAAAAAAAATTGTTGAATTTAATTTAGTTCCGGGATAATACCAAATAAATGGGGTTTCCATGCATACCTAAATAAGTATATTGATTCAATATGAGACTAATGAATGAAAACATATAGGGACAACACATGTACGTCATATTTAATTGGATCTAACGTGATCTTAGTAGTTGATTAATTGTCACCAAGGGCAACTTACATATTTGAGTAACTTGGAAAAATATCATATTACATATTTTGGTATCCGACTTGATGATGTACAGATTTCGATTTAGAACGTCCTAGTTATAAAAGTAAAAATAGTTTTTTTTTTTAATGTTTTAAGGGTGAAAGTAAAAATAGTTTGATTTATCACATGACAAAGAGGAATTGCATAATGATCAAGATTCATGGAATTTTTTGTAATTATATCTTTGAATCGTTTGGGTTTACATCATTATAATATAAACTCGTCATTGCTAATTTGCGGTTATATAACTTTATATGGTATATAGTTGAGATGAAAATAATTTAGTTTTATTGTTTTGGGAAATAAATTAAAGGAGTGTGGCCAGAATCAAGGAGTTTCAGTGACAAAGGAATGGGGCCAATTCCAGAATCATGGAAAGGAATCTGCCAAACCGGAGTTGCCTTCAACTCTTCTCACTGTAACCGGTAAGATAATTTCTCAAATTTGTCATTAAAGAAACATCTTCATATTAATTTAGCAAATCAAATAGTAATACTTTTATCAGCTCAGCTCATATCTAAAGTTTTTCTTGTTTTCAACATGAACAATTTTCACCGGATTATTCATGAGATCATTAATATTATACATATCTACACATACATATACATCCACATAGAATAGAACCTATATAGTACTATATATTTTCCACATAGAATAGAACCTATATAGTACTATATAGTTTTTGATTCACAATTCGTTTTTTTTCAAAAATTTATTTTCTCCCACCTTTGATTGTTCATATCTTTTTCATATATAGTGTTATATAGAGGGGATACTAGATTAGATACAATATAAATCATGGTTATTAGTTTAGTAAAATTTCGAAACTTTATCATTTACTAATGCTATTACCACTTTCTATCTATATATTCATTACAGGAAAATTATCGGAGCAAGGTATTACGCAAGAGGTTACGAGAGATATTACGGACCATTCAATACCGAAGCTAACCAAGACTTCTTGTCTCCACGAGATGCCGATGGACACGGGTCCCACACATCTTCAACCGCTGTTGGTCGCCAAGTAAACGGCGTTTCTGTATTCGGCGGCATTGCTATGGGCACGGCTTCAGGCGGTGCCTCATTAGCTCGCCTAGCTGTGTACAAAGCTTGTTGGGCCGTTCCAAACGCTGACAAAAGCAATGGAAACACTTGTTTTGACGAAGATTTATTGGCTGCGTTTGACGATGCGATTACTGATGGCGTTCACGTCATTAGTATTTCCATAGGAACAGCGGTACCTCAACCGTATTTGAACAGTTAATATTTGGTCATGTGACAGCTAATTAATACCGTTAGTGATTTGCCAAAAAATATCATTGTGATGTGGTTTTATAAGTTTGTTGGTTGAATCATTAAAATTTGCCAAAAATGATGCAAGGGAATATAAAGGAAACAAACATCATCCATATAGTTTATAGGGGTACAAGATTTCAACTTTCAAGAAACTTTCTTCACAATTAAGATTTCGTTCAAGTTTCAATGCAACAAAAGAGAATATATGCCGTTAACTAAAGCTGCCACGTAATCGCATATGAAAATGACTGTTGCGGATAAAACAAACACGTGGCAATAAAAGAATCCAAATAGCTCCATGACGAAATTTTATCATTTTTGGAAAACGTTAGATTTTGTCATGACACGTGTTCGGATAGAATTGGATTAAAAGCGTGCAAACCGCGTACACGCGTGCGTGACGTTGAGATGGAAAAACGCGTAAATCCGTTTCCTCCAGACGCGCCGCACCGGTTGCGTTTTGTGGTGGCTTTACATCGACTCAGCTTCTTTCTCAAATCATTGTGACTTTGTTCTTGGAGATACTCAATTAATATCATAACCTCAAATATTCATTAATCATTAATCAAAAGATCAACCTACCTTCTTTAATAATTAAGATTCTCAAGAACAAAATAATTTCAAATGGTTCGTACGAGTTTTTCTTTTTTTCTTTTTGGTTAAATATTGGGTTCGTAAAGATGGCATAATCGTGCATGTTGTCGTTCCATAATTTTTTTACTTTAAAATCATAATTGGCTTGATTAATCAAACGATTGTATAGAATAATAGTATATGTTTTGCCATTCATAAATTATAAAATTTCAATTAGTGACTA